TATAATAAAGAATAATAACATAAAGGATGCACTAGCTGACAATAGAGGGAAGATATATATGTACAAAACAGAAAAAAAACTTGTACCGGTACTTGTATGGAATATTTGAACATATCTGAATAACCCTTTCGAATACAAATAATTGACAAAGTTGACATCCCTTATCATGATTTTTAGCTCTATTGGTCAGAGACCAGATTGATGTTATACATACATGATATACAAAGAAACTAACACAGGAATTAGTTTAGGTTGTGGATGATTTATCTATAATATAATATGAAGGAGATGATGACATTATATGTTTTTTGAAGTGGATGAATTTTTAAGTCTTCATTGGTTCCTGTCCTTCTAGAGTCTTCCCTTGCTTCTCTAATTCTGCCCTAAATATAAAACACAATGTGTGTCACTGCTTGTGTTATCATTTTTGAACATAAAAATTGTAGGTATTCTTTGAACCGAAACGGTAATTCTCTATTTAAACTAAAGAAGTGGATATTCATGTCCATACAAATTTACATCCACACATGTAAATGTTCACACACATCCATGTACACATACATATCACTGTCCACTTCTTTACAGAGAATGGCTTCATACCTGAGCTGTAGTGAGAAATCATCCTCTACATTATCGTCGTCCCAGTTATCTTCCCATACATTTACATCCTCTTCATCCTCATCAGCACCAGTCCAATCTGTTTACAATTTTAACCAATATTAACATATGTCATATTTATGATAATTATTGAGTAATCTAAAGAACCAAATCATTATCTGCAGTTCACAGGTGCCTGTGGAATGGGGAAAAATACTTAGTCATGATACTTGTAGATATTGTAAGGCATATGAAACCTTTCACTGTACTTTAAAAAGACAATGAAACGACAAAAGAAACTAAAAACAATTACAAAAACACACCCTCTGCTGGAAATTCTTCAAATTCGTCGTCTTCTTCTAGTAAACCTAAATCAGGTTTTTTGTCTTTTTCTTTCCCGTCACTCATGTTGATTTTTAATCTTTATCACAGGGACGCTTGAAAGTGAAAGAGAAGACAAACCAAACCCAGTTATAATTCCGAAATAATTTTGTTCTAGTTCACCTGAGTCGGCGCACAAGTCATAAGCTTAATATGTTAATTTTTACGTTTCTATATGACACAAAGCATCCTCATGTGTAAGGGTTTCAATTTTGTTCAAATAGAGGACCTTGTCCTATCAAGGGGAGATAATTCAGAGGTGAACATTTGGTGGGCTGGCACCATTTAATCAAAGTACTGAAAGTACTGATAGACGGAGGCTTCATGTATGATGGAACACAAAATACATTTGTAATACATTGCTGTAAAGAATATTATGAGGAATAACGTGAAGTATTTTTTTTTAATTCAACATTTGTTTAAAGGATACTTCAATATTCATGAGGTTGTTGGAATATTATATTTTCATCTTTGAAATCTGAACTTCACCTTGATTAAAGTTCACTGTTATTTAAATCAAATACTTTCAATAAGCGACACCTTCAACGTAAGAAACAGTAATTGACCAGGCCTGGGTGCCATAAAACTTAAATGGGCTCACTTTTTATCTCAGTCTCACTTAAGGAATACTTAGTGGAAAAGTGAGACTGAGATCAAAAGTGAGCTTGTCTAAGTTTTATGCCCCCAGGCCCGGTTTGATGAATGTAGGTCTAGTCTGTTCTAGTCATGAGCCCACTGGCGGAGTTAGAAGGGGTCCCGCCCCCCCCCCCCTTTGAGTCCAAAAAATATACAATATTTGATAAATGAATGTTTAATTGTGGCTGTGGACCCCTACCCTGACCTCAAACTGGTCCCCTCTTTTTCAAAATTTCTGGATTCAGCACTGGGCCTCAGCCAGTCAGGAGTTTCCATATTTCAAGATATCTTATTTATAGGTCACAGAGACCTACCGATAACATAATTATGTTATCTTCTACCAAAGATGTATCAGCTACCAAAATCAAAATTTCTCGGCCTAGTGTATAATGTTATGATATGAGCCAACAGGAAAAAAGAAGCAGCCAGATACCTAATTGGACATGAACAACATAATATAGTACAGTTTGTCCTAAACCTTTGTGATAAAAAATGGGGTGACCTAGCTTGAAAGCAACACAGATTTTTTTTTAAAGTAATACAACTTCATTAACATGCAATAAATGTTCTTGCCAGAGCACAATTTTTTGAGTGGAATAAAATATTATGCTTTCTTACTTTATGTAATCAAAACAAATATTTTCAGAAGACTTGCTATTTCACAGCTTTTTGTTTGTGGAGAACTACAGTATTGCTTACAATAACAAAGATATATCTTGACAAATTTGACAAATTTTTTGGAAGTATTAAATGTAGTATTATATCATATGACAGATTTAACCCAAAAAATGCCTTCCTTTACTCGTATACCAGTGGAAATGATTGTCCTTTTCAGTTTGCATGTTTAAAACAATCATTAACAATGAGACATGATTACAAATTATATAGAGAAAAAGTTATCAATATATGACTATGATTACTGCTTTTCAGTTACTCTGTTAAAACAATCAGTTTACCAATGATGTAGGGTAAAAAAAAATTGACACGAATACCAACGATAAGAAATACATGTAAACTTTTACATTGTATATATAAAAAAAAAAAATAATTAAAGTTTGAGATGTGACAGAGGTAAAACACAGATATCAAATGCAAATAAGTATAAACAATATTACAATAAGACAAATTATTTGAGAAGATATAATTCTTAATCATTAATCAGGATATAATGTGATAAATCATGTAAATCCTATAAACCAAGTATTTGGGTTGTAACCAACGGATCAAATGTAGCAGATGAATATTGATCTCAATATCAGAGTTGTCGTTCGTTTCACTCTTAGAATGTTTGGGCATGCAGAATGTACATGTATGCCAAACACTCAAACCGCTTGTAGAAAGTGTAAATTTATTTTCATGTATTTCCTAAAATTATACATATAAAATAAACAATTCAAAACTAGGAGACTTATTGTTCACAGAACAATAAGAGGTCTTTCCACCTTCTTTGAATTTTAAATTTGTTTCATACCTGACTCCTAAAAATTAAATTCCATGAAAAAGAAACCAGAACTTTCTTAAAGCATAGAAAAAATGAAAATAAAAAAAAGAATGACCTTGACCTTTGACCTTGAAAAATATAAAAATATTCATCTGCTACATTTGATCCGTTGGTTACAACCCAAATACTTGGTTTATAGGATTTACATGATTTATCACATTATATCCTGATTAATGATTAAGAATTATATCTTCTCAAATAATTTGTCTTATTGTAATATTGTTTATACTTATTTGCATTTGATATCTGTGTTTTACCTCTGTCACATCTCAAACTTTAATTATTTTTTTTTTTATATATACAATGTAAAAGTTTACATGTATTTCTTATCGTTGGTATTCGTGTCAATTTTTTTTTACCCTACATCATTGGTAAACTGATTGTTTTAACAGAGTAACTGAAAAGCAGTAATCATAGTCATATATTGATAACTTTTTCTCTATATAATTTGTAATCATGTCTCATTGTTAATGATTGTTTTAAACATGCAAACTGAAAAGGACAATCATTTCCACTGGTATACGAGTAAAGGAAGGCATTTTTTGGGTTAAATCTGTCATATGATATAATACTACATTTAATACTTCCAAAAAATTTGTCAAATTTGTCAAGATATATCTTTGTTATTGTAAGCAATACTGTAGTTCTCCACAAACAAAAAGCTGTGAAATAGCAAGTCTTCTGAAAATATTTGTTTTGATTACATAAAGTAAGAAAGCATAATATTTTATTCCACTCAAAAAATTGTGCTCTGGCAAGAACATTTATTGCATGTTAATGAAGTTGTATTACTTTAAAAAAAAAATCTGTGTTGCTTTCAAGCTAGGTCACCCCATTTTTTATCACAAAGGTTTAGGACAAACTGTACTATATTATGTTGTTCATGTCCAATTAGGTATCTGGCTGCTTCTTTTTTCCTGTTGGCTCATATCATAACATTATACACTAGGCCGAGAAATTTTGATTTTGGTAGCTGATACATCTTTGGTAGAAGATAACATAATTATGTTATCGGTAGGTCTCTGTGACCTATAAATAAGATATCTTGAAATATGGAAACTCCTGACTGGCTGAGGCCCAGTGCTGAATCCAGAAATTTTGAAAAAGAGGGGACCAGTTTGAGGTCAGGGTAGGGGTCCACAGCCACAATTAAACATTCATTTATCAAATATTGTATATTTTTTGGACTCAAAGGGGGGGGGGCGGGACCCCTTCTAACTCCGCCAGTGGGCTCATGACTAGAACAGACTAGACCTACATTCATCAAACCGGGCCTGGGGGCATAAAACTTAGACAAGCTCACTTTTGATCTCAGTCTCACTTTTCCACTAAGTATTCCTTAAGTGAGACTGAGATAAAAAGTGAGCCCATTTAAGTTTTATGGCACCCAGGCCTGGTCAATTACTGTTTCTTACGTTGAAGGTGTCGCTTATTGAAAGTATTTGATTTAAATAACAGTGAACTTTAATCAAGGTGAAGTTCAGATTTCAAAGATGAAAATATAATATTCCAACAACCTCATGAATATTGAAGTATCCTTTAAACAAATGTTGAATTAAAAAAAAATACTTCACGTTATTCCTCATAATATTCTTTACAGCAATGTATTACAAATGTATTTTGTGTTCCATCATACATGAAGCCTCCGTCTATCAGTACTTTCAGTACTTTGATTAAATGGTGCCAGCCCACCAAATGTTCACCTCTGAATTATCTCCCCTTGATAGGACAAGGTCCTCTATTTGAACAAAATTGAAACCCTTACACATGAGGATGCTTTGTGTCATATAGAAACGTAAAAATTAACATATTAAGCTTATGACTTGTGCGCCGACTCAGGTGAACTAGAACAAAATTATTTCGGAATTATAACTGGGTTTGGTTTGTCTTCTCTTTCACTTTCAAGCGTCCCTGTGATAAAGATTAAAAATCAACATGAGTGACGGGAAAGAAAAAGACAAAAAACCTGATTTAGGTTTACTAGAAGAAGACGACGAATTTGAAGAATTTCCAGCAGAGGGTGTGTTTTTGTAATTGTTTTTAGTTTCTTTTGTCGTTTCATTGTCTTTTTAAAGTACAGTGAAAGGTTTCATATGCCTTACAATATCTACAAGTATCATGACTAAGTATTTTTCCCCATTCCACAGGCACCTGTGAACTGCAGATAATGATTTGGTTCTTTAGATTACTCAATAATTATCATAAATATGACATATGTTAATATTGGTTAAAATTGTAAACAGATTGGACTGGTGCTGATGAGGATGAAGAGGATGTAAATGTATGGGAAGATAACTGGGACGACGATAATGTAGAGGATGATTTCTCACTACAGCTCAGGTATGAAGCCATTCTCTGTAAAGAAGTGGACAGTGATATGTATGTGTACATGGATGTGTGTGAACATTTACATGTGTGGATGTAAATTTGTATGGACATGAATATCCACTTCTTTAGTTTAAATAGAGAATTACCGTTTCGGTTCAAAGAATACCTACAATTTTTATGTTCAAAAATGATAACACAAGCAGTGACACACATTGTGTTTTATATTTAGGGCAGAATTAGAGAAGCAAGGGAAGACTCTAGAAGGACAGGAACCAATGAAGACTTAAAAATTCATCCACTTCAAAAAACATATAATGTCATCATCTCCTTCATATTATATTATAGATAAATCATCCACAACCTAAACTAATTCCTGTGTTAGTTTCTTTGTATATCATGTATGTATAACATCAATCTGGTCTCTGACCAATAGAGCTAAAAATCATGATAAGGGATGTCAACTTTGTCAATTATTTGTATTCGAAAGGGTTATTCAGATATGTTCAAATATTCCATACAAGTACCGGTACAAGTTTTTTTTCTGTTTTGTACATATATATCTTCCCTCTATTGTCAGCTAGTGCATCCTTTATGTTATTATTCTTTATTATATACTTAGTAATAAATACAGGTTTTTTGCATATGCGATATGCCTGACGTCACAATAGCCATATCATCCCTGCAGGGCTGATATGGATTTGCAGGGCTGATAACCTATACCCGCCCTGCAAATCCATATCAGCCCTCCAGGAATGATACAGATCATTATCACACCAGTAAATTAAAACAAAAAACCCCCACAAAAACAGTACTTGTGATCATACATAATTTTTTGGTTGGTTCACAATCTCTTAATTTTAAATTTTTGAAGATAAGGATACCGGTAATTTTATTTTCAAATGATAAATTATTTATAAATTACTGATCGAGTGCATTGAAATAGTAGAAACAAACCCAAACCGTTGAGACAATAGACCATGTACATGTATGTAAGAAGTCCATGCATGATTATTTACTTATTTTAATGTGTGCTGTATTTTATTACTAAGTATATAATAAACATAATAATACATACCCTTTTCCATATCACATCCTGTATCAGCCCTCGACCAATATCAGCCCTTGGGCCTTCGGCCCTCTGGCTGATATTGGTGTCTCGGGCTGATACAGGATGTGATATGGAAAAGAGCATGTATTATTCTCTATATAGTTTTGTAAAGAAACGGTAACTAAAGTATATTTATAAAATATTTCCAAATTAATTACGGAATTTAAAATTTAGGTGAAATTTTTCTTTGCTCCAAATTTTACTAATATTTTTTATTCAATTCCTAACATTGATTTTTATCAACAAAAACAGCAGCATGAACAACAGTGACAAGGGCTGTAGGGAGTCATGATATAACAGTAGATTCCATTGTAGATTCTGTATTGGATATATGCCGAATACAGTTCTGTATTAAAAAATATCGGACATTTTGAGGCCCGTTAGGGCCGAAAACTGTCTGATATTTTTTATTACAGAATTGTATGAGGCATATATCGTACTTAAAACATTGCTTTTTGATTTACCTGAGACAGTCCGATATTAGAACAAAAGACAAAGGTGTTAATGACCACTGAAGCAATTCTTTCAAGAATGCAGGCTTAACTGAAAAGTACTCAGTATTTAGGGATTCGACTACACTGTAAAAGGTATTTGAAATATAATTTGATAAGGAATGTGTGGACAAACTTTTTCTTCCTTAAATCATACACTGAAATGAGAGCAGCGCAACAAATTATCATACAGACAATCTAGTGAATGATGAATTTAGAATGGAATGGAAAATGCAGGTATGAAGAATAATCACAGAAAATTTAGCAGATGCTGAAGGTACATTAGTTCAATTTTTTTATGTTCTACATATACCTGTGTTTTTCATACTCCACTACAGAAAAACAAACATAATCAATAGTCCAGGAGTTTTGAGGAAAACGAAATTCTTTTAATTTCTTTCAAAATGTGTTGTGAATCTGTCAAATTTAGTAAATAATTATCATATACTAGGCCTAGTTACCTTGATTCTGCACAAGCATTTTTCTTTCTATGAGAAAAATGAAATCAAATTGTTTGAATGTTCTTCTTTATAGTGTCTAAAGTTTGTGTTTTATTTTCAATTTAAGTTTTTTGTGTTTCTCTGGTGACCCTCAGTGCGCCTACTCTTTTTTCAAAAACCAGAGAAAGGGGTTGAAACACTTCTCTAATGTTAATAAGTTTATTATTATTTTTGTTTGCTTTTTATTTGCATTATCTGGTCTGCCGCATGTTCTTCCTGTCACATTTTTTTTATTTCCTTTGTTCAGTAGCAGTCCAATTTTGTAAGATATCAGTACTGAGACAGTCTGATATTACGATTAATATCAGACTAATCACTAATATCGGACTGCCAAAGGTAAAATTTTAGACTGCAAGAACAAAGGAATGATATCACAGCAATGTTTTAAGAGAGGAAGTATCTTCCTGAACCAAAGATGCTAAATAGAGAATAGCAATATGTTTAAAATATCCTATGGTCATACTTACACCCTGAGAGAATGGATGATTTTCTGAACTTGTGACATGGCCAAGAATTTACATTTAACATCCAGAGACTTTCAGTTTGACTTTTTCCGAATGACCATGGTTGTGATTGGGTGTTGCACAGCCTCTGGCCACAAGCAACCTTTGTGCCTTGTATACATGCTATCTACTATTGTTTCTCTCTATCTCAAAGTCATGGTTAAAAATAAACACTTTATACATGTATTCCTAAAGCAAATGACCTTGACATTGTTCAAGTGTCCTTGGGTTGAGGTCATGATATATCCTCATCTGTCAACACAATCAATCTCTGTATCAAGTGTTTTTTCTACAGTCAGTGGCTTTGACATTGTTCAAGTGAACCCTTGAAAAGAGGGAGGGTATATAGTGATCAGGATGTACGTCTCCTTTACGTCCATCAGTTATGCTTTGGGTACCCATCTGGCATCTCTTATCAGTGCAACTCCTCCTTTACCACTGAATGAAATTTAATGAGACTCTCATAGAATCTTTGTCTTATAGTGCCATTGTGATCACCTATTTTACTTTTTGAACCAACACTTATTTTGTGTCTCCCAGTGCAAGACATGGACTTTGCCTTTATAACCATATGGGGGCGAGGGTATCATTTAATGAACTTATTGCTCACAGTCCCTCTTATTAGCTCACCTGAGTCGAAGGCTCAAGTGAGTTTTTCTGATCACATTTTGTCCGGCGTCCGTCTGTCTGTCTGTCTGTAAACATTTTCGACTTCTCAAGAACCAGTAGGCTAATTTCAACCAAACTTGCCATAAAGTATCATTGGGTGATGGGGATTCAAGTTTGTTAAAATGAAGGGCCACACCCTCTTCCATGGGGAGATAAATTATAATGACATATTATTAATGTAATTATATATTATATAATTAAAATTTATGATAACTTTGTATCAAGTATGAGCTACTAAAACTAAGTTACAAAGTTAATCTCAAGATGAAAAATTTACTCTATTCCTGTCAATAAAGTTCATTGTACAATGAAATAAAACAATATTCTTTTATAAAATTTTTCATAATTATTGTCTTCAAATAGTGCAGAAGTTAGGGCTTGTTGGCCTGTGGATATTGGCCTGAGTGGCTCAGTGGTAAGGCTCCTGGTAGAGGTCCCGGATTTCAGTCCCTGCCCAGCAATATATTTTCTTTATTCATTCCTCCTTTCCTTATACATGTATAATTACAATAGAATATTTTTGCAGAATGATAATAATGCCAACTATGTAATGAAATAAACAAAGATTGTAGGTAATAAAATTTATTAAAGATAAATAGGCTAGGAGATATTACAGTTCCTCTTTTACTACTGGTGCATTTTTTAAAAAGTCGTAAAATTTATTAGCCTTTCTATCATCATTATAATCCGCCATAAAAATTCCATCACTATAAAGTTTAATAGTTGGATATCCCTCTATTTTCTCTGTAGAACAGATATCTGGAAAAGAAATATGAAAGCCATAGAACACTTATAATTCCCAAAATTTCAATACAAGAAGAAAATACATGAATGATACAGTAATACAATTTAGCTGTATAAACAAGGATATTGCCAATTCACAGATATGAGGAAGTTATCTTGTATCCCCAGCTATATATATTTAATGAATTTCTTATACAGTGTACCGATATAATGAATCATGGATATAGCAAAGTAATTTCATTGGTCCCAGTGAATTCGTTATAACCGAGTTTTACTGTATAAGTATCCATGGAGAACTGGAGATACATGTATTTGTTTTCAAAGAGGCTCTATAAAAATTCTCAAAACATCATATTGTCCCAGTTCTATTAGATTGGATAAAATTATTTCCATGATTGATTTAAAACGATCTCGTACCTTCATTAGTTGTACAATCTACGGCAGCGAATGCTTTTGATTTGGACTCCTTGGCCATTTTATCTGCGGCTTCCTGGAAGTCCGGCTTAGCTTTCTTACAATGTCCACACCAAGGTGCATAAAACATGACTAGTACACTGGCTTTGGACTTGAGGAATGTTTTAAAGTCTTTGGAGGTCAGATGGTTGACCTTACTGGGTACCGTGCTCCAGGCCGGCTCGGGGGCCGGGGGAGGGGGTGGCTCCTTGGGACTAAAATTAGAAATATGTATATACCAGTGGGGAAAATATATTACAGCCATACAGTAATGGACCATTTTGTGCTTAGTAAGTTGATTAATTTTAAAAACTGTTACATTTCAATGGATAAAAACGACTTACTCTTTCATGAAGGATACAAGATCTTTTGTACTCCTCCCACTTTGGTAGTCGAATGCTTCCTGACCATTTCTGTTTCAATCAATGAAGTAATAAACATATGTTCATAGGTCACCCTCAGCAAGTTACTTGTATCTTAATAATTTATTCAAAGCGTAAAAAGTTAACATTTAGCAAATCTTGAACATGCATAAATATTTTACATATCTACCTTAAAATTTATTCTATAACGATATATTGGTTTTCATACATTTGTTATTCAAGAGAATATTAAACTTTTTCTTCTTGTTAAGTATTAGCAATTAAACTGTGCTTTATAAAATATTACATATTATTGTAGTATTTTTATACATTTATATATTATGTCCTCCTTTCACTCTTTAAGCTCTTTGACATGCATCCTTTTCCAACTACCAGGTACAAGTTATTCACAGCATATAATGAACCATGTTACTGTAAATCACTCTTACTTACATATGATGTATAATAAGATAAATGTAAGATATACATGTACAACATTATGTACATGCTGCAATAAAACAAGTAAATTAAGATAATCTGAGCAAATTCATGCGATAAAATTACTTTTTAAAATATCTTTGAATTATTTTCAATTTTAGGTCACCAGTCACTTGGGTGATCTTTTGCTATTTGCTGCGCTGGTAGGCTTAGTGTATGAAGGTTTCACTTTCCTCAGCTTCTTCAAAAGAACCACTGGACTATCAAATAAAGTATCTTTTGGTAAATGCTTACACACAGGTTTCAGCTTTTCTGGCTCAGTGGTTCTTAAGAAGAAGATTTAAAGATTTTTTGCTAAATATTTCAATGTAAAGATTTAAAGTTTTTTTGCTAAATATTTCAATGTAAATCTTGATTCCCTATCGTGTCCC